TTTTTTATAAAACATTTCTGTTATTGTGGAAAGCAAAACAAAACAGTAAAAACCTGGATATGATAAACACAGGACTTAGCTAGTTTCTGCTAATGAAAATTCACTTGATAAACAAACTACTATTAATTTAGAGAAGAATAAATGAGAAACAGAAGACATTAAATTAGTTCTGTTGATATTACTGAAATTACCATTTCTTTTCCAGGGTATCAGAGGAAGAAGAAAGTACCTATACACTTGAGTATAAGCCATCTTGAATATCAGCCGAGGCACCTAATTTTACCACAAAAACTGCATTAAAAATGTGCTGAAAAACTCGGCTTATACACGAGTGTATATGGTATGCTTGGTTACCCTATTCCTTTCTTGTTTGCCATTCATCCAAATGGAAAGTATCACTGATATTGGTAGCCTTTATTCCTTCTCTCTTTTGCTTACTATAGTTCGTGTTGACATTCCATTTTGACTCCTCACAGTCAGCACTAATTTTGAAATACAGATGAAATCACGTAAGAAATAGTGTATCGAAAACTAAAAATATGTATGCATACATGTATATATATAGCTAATATGAATATGACCAATGAGAAACAGATGAGGAAACTCCAGTTGAGGAGTTGCATTCTTTTTATTTACCTTCCTCTCTAACATCCTCCTCACCTTACTTAACAAGTGAAATGCAAAGCCTTAAGTCATTTTACCCCTAGTAGAGGAAGTGGGGAAGTTTTGAATTGTTATAGTAAAAGGGTTGATGTGGGTGGAGTAATGTGAACCTGGCAAAATATCTGAGCTTTGCTTTTACCTCATAAAAAAAAATACCCTGTCATTATGTTTTACAGATTATAATAATGAAGATGAATTTGGAAGAAAGTTGAAATTCCTCTTGCAACAGCTTCCACCTGTGAATTACAGTTTGTTAAAGTTTCTGTGTAGATTTTTAGCCAATGTAGCATCGCATCATGAAGAAATTTGGTCTGCAAATTCTTTGGCTGCTGTCTTTGGTCCAGATGTCTTCCAGTAAGTTGTTCAATAATTTTTTGTTTAATTAAGAACATCGGGTATATGAGATAGAATTACTCTATCTCCCAAGAATCGTAGATTGCTTGATGACCCATTATTTTTAGATCTGATGAATCCAGCATTTCTGTGGACAGGGTATAAATTAGGTAGGACTTAAATGAGGGTATACTAAGGGACAGAATGATGATGTAAATTGTTTAGATTCATAAAGTGACTCATTGGTTGTCCTGAATTCAATTTAGACTTTTATTTTTAGCATTTATACAGATGTGGAAGATCTGAAAGAGCAAGAAATAGTTAGCAGGATAATGGCTGGACTTATGGAAAATTATTACGAGTTTTTTGAGAATGAAGAGGAAGATTTTTCATCTAATGATTTGAGTTCAATTACAGAACAGGTAGGACTATTTTAAATATTCTACTTTGAGGGAGAATTTTTTTTAAGAATATGGAATTTAGAGATTGACATAAATTTATGTGCAGTTTAACTCGAAATAATTCTCATGTAATGGCATGTCTACATAGTATATATCTGTGTATACTATTTTTTTCTGGCTTCTTTCTGGTTCGTAATTTGGATAATGTGGAAAAGACATTGAAACCAGAATTTATGGTAGAGGGTTTTTTTCCCCCCTTTTTCTTTTCCTCTTTTGGTTTATGTTTTCTTCTGTTAACTCTAGCATTGCTTATTTTGTAAGGATGCTGTTGTTTGTGTGTATCTTGTATTTTACCCCCCTCAAAAGAAACTGTAGTAAAAGGATGTTTAGGAATATAACTGGAATGTAAGCAAATGATAAATAATCAGGTAAAGAAAAATGTTTTATACAAAGTTCATGGAAACAATTAAAAAAATAAATGTAATAAGAAAAATGAAAATTTTTAGCAGCTGATGTAGATGAATTTTCACCTGAGAGTTATTATTAGTAATATTTTAATTCTTAGAGATTTCTTTTATATATAAAAATAAAGTTAATATAGCATTGTAACCATTGTCCTAAATAGGAAGGATTTGGGGAATTAATAGTTGAGATTGCAGGCCATTTTTAATTCTGATTTTTGGTATTAAAATTCATTTACAGGATTCATAATAGTTTGTTGTTAACGTTTATGCCTGGTAGTTGGGAGTATACAAAGATACTAGTCACTCTTTTGTGAAATTATTATAAAGCCACAGTAATATAGATTTCTCTTTTGTACGTTTGTAAAGTGATTTTCCAAGCAATTTTTATTTGGTTAAAGGTTAGATGCAGTTGATTTACATATGGATAATAATTCACCTTTTTTTTTTAATTGTATAGTAAAATGTCTTGTTTTTTTTTTAAAAAGTGCTTCTACCCATACTCCTTTATTCCCTACTCAAACCCTCTTCCACACTTATTATCGGTTTCATACATGCTTTTCTAGATGGTTTTTAAAAAATGCAAATATAAGTTAAGTCTCAGTTTTTAAAAGGAAAAGTAGCATACTATAAATAGTATTATATACCTTGCTTTATATCATTTAATAACTTATCTTGGAAAACTTTTCTCATCAGACTGGAAAGTATCTTATTCTGCACATCTCTCAATTGTGTAGATGTGTAACTTTATAGTTTGATTTATAGTACCAGTTCCGAGATGAAAGGCATATCCTGGTTTTCACAGAACATCTTGCATTAAGTCTGCTTTCTGGTATAATTATGAATAATAGTTTCCCCTTTATGCTCAAATATATACAGGTTTGAATGGTAAATTATATTGTCACTATTGATGGCATTTAACATAGATCTACTTGTGTATAAGTTGAGTTTTTCAGCACATTTTTAATGCAGTTTTTGTGGTGAAATTAGGTGCCTCGGCTGATATTTGGGTTGGCTTACACTTGAGTATATACAGTAAATGTTTTTACATTATAAAGCATTGTCTCTTTAAAGGTTGTTATAGACAGTTTCACTAGTTCTGTCGTATATCACTAGGTCTGACATGTCTTGACTCTGATATGAAAGAGTTTTATTTTCTGGGTAATTCATTCTTTAGTTATAGAGTTTTTATACTGTTGTGAACTTTTATAAATATAATTTTTTAATAATTGGGGTTTGTGCTTTCCTCATTTTTTCGTATTTTCTTCAAGTAGGCAATTTATTTTTGTTTATTTTCCTGTGTCTCATTTAAAGACTGGATCTTTCCTCCTCTCCCAGTTTCTCATCCTTTTTCAAATATCAGGAACTTTATTTTTTATTTTTTTAAGCAAAAGGGAAGAAATTTATTGGAGCCCATATGGGAAACCTAGAGGGGCCCAGCACACCCTACTGTGTAGGCATGCCCAGCAAAGGGTCACACCATTCACTGTACCCCCATGTCCCAGAGGGACGCCCCTTGAGCCAAGCCCCAAAGCCCCAGGACTGGCTGGGGGTGGGGACTATCAGGAACTTTAATAGAAAAAGCAACAGATAACAAAATTGCAGCTTGAAATGTGTAAATGTGAGGAGGAAGTCACATACGAATATTTATGAGGAACTTTAAAAAATACACGAGAAAATTCTTTTATCTTTTAATTGCATTTTTTCATGAGCTTTTTGAAATCTCATTCTATGTGAAGTAAATCAAATGAATGGAATATGCAGTCTGAATTAGTGACACATGGAACTTGTGGCATATTTTTTGAAGGTTTCCAATGGTCATGTCCAGTGCCTGTAAAAATAGCATCCCACAGGTGTCAGATCCTCTCCAGTTTTATAGGGGTGTGTGGGAGGATCAAGGTCAACGGCCTGTGCAGGTCATACATGTTTTCACCCTGCAACCTTTTTGCCATTTCTAACACCAGTAGTCCTGCCCATAATATACACAGTACTTTTCTCCCGGGTTCAATTTGTTGCAGTAGCCCATAAAACTCATAGGTATGACATTTATTAGGAAAGTAACAGTTTCCAATTCAGGTTCAGAAACACATAGGATACAGTTTTTTGATAAGGACAACTTCTCAGTATTGCACATAAACAGGACCATCACTGACCCTCAGGGCCTTGGTCTGCCCTCTGTTCTGCTTGGGCAAGCATTATAAAGCTATCTTAACTCTGATGATGTGCCCAGAAGCATCCCACTTTACCATTGAGCCTCTACCTGAGGGTGCTCAGCTTTAGCCCACCTTTTCCAACTGTCCAGAAGCACCCTACTCTTGTAGCAAGCCTCCTGGCTGAAGCCTGTTTAGTCTTCTTGCTCTGTGGATCAGGGAATTCACTGTGCCATTGTTGCACATTTTCTTTTTTTGTTCCACCATTTCTCTGCCACTTTCTTTAAAGGTCCTAGGTTCTTGGATGATCTCTACTCCCAGTTCTTGATGGGCCTCTGGAAGGTTATTGGGTCCCCACCCCTTCTTTCTCTTCACTTTTGTATCTTATAAAGTGTGGTTAAAGCATGGGTATGACTTCAGTAAAGCAGTAAGAAGGGGAGAGGTGGTGACTTGAGTCATATTTTCTAGTAAGGTGGTAACTCAGATACAGCCACTCAAATCTTATTAACATAACGGACGATTCACTTCCAAATAGTTATGTAGCCATAGGCATAGAGCGTAGGCTATGCAAACTCATCACAAAATGGGCTAGCCAAGTTGATATACAATCCCAAACCATCATAGGGTTCCATATACCTTATTTGCATGGACCCACACCGTGGCTAGAATGAGCATGTTAAGTAATTCACTGAATTGCATTTCCTGACTTAGAAATTTAGGTAAATTAAAGAGCTAATACACTTCTTACTCTTGCATATAAGAAAATGACAAGAAGGGGACAAGTAGTTAGATGCACCTTAAACTGTTAATGCCTTTTGATGCTTAAAAGAAATATTATCTATTGGGGAATTCTGTGTACCTTTGTTCTTTTTCCTAGATTATGTTTTAGCTCAGAGAAAGGAAAGAACCTCAAAAGAACTAATGACTGTTCAGAGTAAAATAGTATACAATTCTGTCATTAATTTTGTATATTTCTAATATGATTTGACTTTTAAGAAACTGCTGATAACAACTTGAACCTAATATTCATATTTTGACT